GATAAAATTATCAACTTGCCCTTATCTGTCCGACGCTGGGGACATGCAGAATTTTCAACAAACTTTTACAGTCTGCATTACCTACTGATAAGATTTTATAATTTCTGGTGTTGCTTTATTTTTTTTTTTAACTGTTAAATCCATTTTAAAGCTTCAAACTTACATTATTTTATGTAAAAACTAATATCTTTATCTTTGTGATTATTATCCCAATGTTTCAGTCATAATGACCTCTGACCTTTTTCAGATAGCCATTGAAATGTTCTGGTATTTTGGTTTGGTTTGTTTTCCTTCATGGCATATCAACACCTTAATGGGTTATTTAATGCCGACGAGATTTTTACAATAGATTCGTATGAATAGAATATATATTCTTTGTAAGGAACCAGTTTATAGATCCGGTTTCATTGAAATACTTTTGCAAAAAGGGTTGTTGTTAATAATCTGCTTTCATTGACGTATTCTTTTCAGATACATGGTTTGTAGAGAAATTGATTTTGACATTCTCATTTGATTTATAATTTTTGGTAGGTTTGGTTTGGTTTATGGCATATCAACACCTCAATGGGTTATTTAATGCCGACAAGATTTTTATTGCTGGTAATATTTTTTTTTTTCAAAAATGTATTGCTGCTACTTTTTTTTTTCTCCCAAAAGTTTATTGCTGGTAATAATTTTTTCTTCAAAAATTCATTGCATGTAATAGTTACAAAAAAAAGTATTGCTGGGATTAAAACCTATTTTTTACACTTTCATAGTGTTTTGAGCCCAGTTTGGGGGTTAACTATTTGCCCAAAGCTGGGACCCTAACAGGTGCTACCACTCTGGCAATTAAGAGGTGGTTCCACAGTCCTCAAAACCTCCTCATCAGAGGCCTTGCTGTCTGTCATCTTACCCAGGATGCGGATGTAGTTTATCGTCATACCCAGGACAAGGGTATTTTGAATTGAATTCTTAACCTCCGATGTTCTCATTTCATTGTCTATATTTCAGGATATCTCATCTTATTTTAGCACTGAGTTACTAATCAGTTTGAGTCTGTACTACATGTCTGAGGGACTGATCTGGGACTATTATACCATCAAGTTGACAAACCAATACTTTAGTCCACTAGGCTACCATCAGACAATGATAGTTGAATGAGAATGATCTGTTTCCCATTGATTAAGTAAAATTGGTATTAAGTAATGTATTGGTTGAAAAGACATTCACGGTATATTTACATTAAACGTTGATATAAATTTCCCTGAGCCATGAAGTAAAAGATCGGTTTTCTATTGTTATTAAGTAATAAATTGATCCCCCATTAGGATTACTACTGAATGTCAGATTTTATTATGCAAATTTTTTTCAAAATAAAATTGGTTTTATATATATATATATATATATATATATATATATCTCGTTATGTTAAATATTAAAGAGTTTCTAATGGGCATAATGTCAGGGATCTGTTTTCTATTGTTATTAAGTAATAAATTGACCCCCCCATTAGAATTACTACTGAATGTCAGATTTTATTATGCAAGTTGATGTTTTCAAAATAGAATTGGGTGTAACTATATATATATGTGTTAAATATTAATGAGTTTCTATCAGGCATAATATCAAGGATCGGTTTTCTATTGTTATTAAGTAATAAATTGACCCCCACATTAGCATTACTACCTTATGTCAGATTTTATTATGCATGTTGATGTTTTCAAAATTAAATGGTTTTTAACTAACTGAAGATATATTTACCTTAAATATTAATGAGTTTCTACTGATCATAAAGTCGGAAATCAGTTTTCTACTGGGCCATCAAATTGACAAACCATTGCTTTAGTCCAGTAGGCTACCCCCAGACATTGACAGTGGAATGAGAATGAGCTGTCCCCCATTGATTGAATAAAGGGTTCAGGTTTCAAATTTCCTGAAGGTGACACAGATTGACAGCACAATAGATGAAATGTTTTGATGAAGACAACAGACAATTCAAATACAAATTTGAATGCATAATGTGCTTAAATATAAGTGAAATTTCAAAATTCAAGACATTTCATAGAAATGGCTGACGTGTTTTATACCTGCTTGGAACCAGCTGTTGCCTTAACTGCACAAATAAATGGCACTATCCTTCAGAAAATAAAACTTTAGATTTTTATAAGTATTTATCTTATATATTGATAAAACATGGGCAAGCAACTAAAGTAATGTTTACATTACATATTAAATATACATTTCCTTGGGACATGAAGTTAGGTGTCAGGGTGGGGGATCGGTTTTCTATTGTTATTAAGTAATAAATTGATCCCTTTTAGGATTATGCCAGATTTTATAATGCAAGTCAAGGTTTTCAAACTGAAATTGGTATTAACAAACTAATGTGGCAGAATTTTACAAGATATATTTTCCTTAAATATTGATACAATTTTCAATTGGACATAAAGTGGGGGATCGGTTTTCTATTGTTATTAAGTAATAAATTGATTACCCATTAGAGACATGATAATATGACTGTATCATGCAAGTCAATCTTTGCCTAATAACAAGTAATGCAGTTTTAGAAAAATCTCAAGATATATTTCACCTAAATATTCGTTTCAGCTGGACATAAAGGGGGGGAACAGTTTTTTTTATTGTTATTAAATAATAAATTGATCCCCCCTTTACAATGAATACATTATGTCCCATTTTATTATGCAAGTCAACGTTTACACAATTATATTGGTTTTAACTATCTGAAGATATGTTTATGTCAAATATTGAGGACTGTTTAATGGACATAAAATGGGGGATCGGTTTTCTATTGTTATTAAGTAATAAATACATCCCCCTTAGAATCATGACAATGTGTCTGTATCATGCAAGTCATTGTTTGCATAACAACATTGGTATTCTGTAATGTGGTTTTGGGAAAAAAATTCAAGATATATTCCCCCTAAATATAAGTTTCAACTGGACACAAAGTGGGGGATCTGTTTTCTATTGCTACTAAGTAATAAATTGATCCCTCATTAAAAAATATTGGGAATAATTTGTTTTTGGTGGTGGGGAGGTATCAGGTCTTATTTGACAAACAAACCAAGCCCAATGCTAGCTTACAGCCATGAAAGTATATCAGATTAACACATCACCTCGTATTTTTTCTGAATCATTTCAACCTGAGGAAGGCAACAACACCACAAAGGAGAAAGGGGGCAATAGGGAACAAAAAAAAATGAGATGACTTTAGGAGAAGGAATTGGGAAACAAAACCTAAACAGGAAACAAGGGATAAAACTCTGTTCCTGTTCAAAAAGACTGGAGAGGAGTGTGAACAGAGCAATAGGCGACCTGAATAAATTACTATTTTATTATTTTACTTTGGTGGGAAAGTAGAGGTATGCCAGCTACCATTTTGAAGTTTGCCTAATTTGAAAAAGACAGTCTCCTCTTTCCACATGCATATGCACCTGAAGAAGACCTCCTTCTTCATTATGTGTCACAGAAACTGCAGCTGCCTCTTCCTGATGTTAAGTATAAGCCTCCTTCTTGTTTGCATCCTGTCTAAAACCTCATCGTTGCTCACACGCTCGGTCATCCACTTGCTCAAGCCTATTAGGTATGTCATATGTTGTTTTTCTTTGTCTCTCTTTCCTTCTATTTGACCCATGAGTATCAGATTCTCCAGGCCCTCCTTCCTCATTATGTGTCCCAGAAACTTCAGCTGACTCTTCCTGATATTAAGTGTAGAATAGCAATGACAAATTAAAAGAACAAATTAGATAATACAATAAAGCATTTTTTATATTTTAAAATTGAAAATAAAACAAGCAATAATTAATGCACAAACTTGGTACAGTAGAAACGAAATAAGAGTTGATTGTATTATTTAATGTATTTTTTAAAATTTTGTCCCCTTTTCTACACAGAAAGAACCCTAACCCCATCTCTAACCCTCACAACTAACCCTAAACTTAACCTGGTTTATTGTGTTATTTGTTTATTTTATTTTAATTTGTCCCCTTTTCTACACAGAAAGAACCCTAACGAAACCCATCCTAACCCTAAACTTGACCCATAAACATAACTTTTTAAAGAGCATGATTATGTATAAAAGAAAATTACAAAATAAAAAAAATGCTAGAAACGAAATAAGGGTTTATTGTATTATTTAATGATTTTTTTTCAATTTGTTTGCTTTTAATTTTAAAAAAAGCCTTATTGTATTATTTAATTTGTTCTTTTAATTTGTTATTGCAATTCTACACAGAAAAAAGGTTTTATTGTATTATTTAATTTGTTCTTGTTATAGATAAAACTACACTTACAAAAAAAAAAAAAAAATTACAATTCTTTACAGTGATTTTCTGCATCGAAAGTCTGTAAAAGAAATAAATAGGCCAAAATTTATGCTTACGCCACCAGAAGTATCCTGCAGTGAACATTATGGCAGTAATGACAGACGAATAATCAACAAGAAGTCTGATTTTTTTCTAGTTGATAACTTCAAAACGGTAGGTTTCTTCATAATTTAATTGTTTATTCGAGTTCATCAGCATAACACATTTATATGGGAATTATGAAAAATTTGGGAAAATTTTAAGAGATATTTAGCATGCGGACCCAACAAATTAAAAGCAAATTTCCGTCATACTTGTCCATTGTTTGACATTGGCATTCTCTCTGACGTCCACCTTCAACGGTGCTTTGCATGATGGTCTTGCACTGGCTGTCATGCCTTGTAACATGTCCAAACCATGCCATTTTTCTGCATTTGACAGGTGAGAAGAGATTCCTGGTGACCCACAAAACTTTCAACCCCCCACCCCTTTTTTTGAGCTGATAAAATATGGAGGTGAAGAAACCATCAAAGCCTTAACAGCACGATGCCAAACGATCTGGGAACAAAAAAAAAAAAGGTCTAACAAGCCGACTCAATCAACCCCTGACCAAGAAAGGAAGCCTTAGGAAGCGTCAATATTATAGGTGTGCACATGCGTATATAAAAACACACAAAATCTTCCCCCACTTACTTGACAAAGACAGTTTCATGTTTTTCAATTCATTTTGAATGGTCTCACATGTTGATTCCTGTTGGGCGTTTCTCTGGGAGAGAACCTGTATTGTCTCAGTTTGATTCGTAACGACGGTCTTCAGCTGTTCTTTCTCAAGGCTAGGACGAGGTAAAATTAAGTTTTCCTTCTCTTCTTGACGTAATTTTTTCTCTTCACTCAGTTCTGGGTAAAGAAAATAAAAAAAAAACATAAAAAATAACGATGAAAAGAGACATACCTACAAAATTTAGCCTTATATGAATTTACAAAAGATAAGACAATAAATTTGGCAAAAATGCTGGCCGCTTTTGTATCTGAGTATGTCTGACTACTAGCCAATCCCCATTGCAGACGCCTGTTCAGGCACATGTGTTTGTTCAACACCCACAGATAGTTTGTTTAGTTTGTTGTGTTTTATGGCATATCAACCTCAATGGGTTATTTAATGCCGGCAACTTTTTTCCTGGTAATATTTTGTTTTGTCAAAAATCTATTTCTGGTAATATTTTTTTATATCAAAACTGTATAGCTTGTAATATTTTTAAAAATGTATTTCTGGTAATATTTTTTTCTTCAAAACATTTATTTCTGGTAATAATTTTTTTTACAAAGTATTTCTGGTATTAAAACCTATTTTTACACTTTTATAATGCTTTTTACTTCAGTTTCGGGGTTAACTATTTGCCCATAGCTGGGACCCTAGCAGGTGCTACCACCCTGGGTCAGGGTGGACCTAAGAACACCAACAATTAAGAGGTGGTTCCACGCTCCTCAAAACCTCCTGATCAGAGGCCTTGCTGCTGGATGTAGTTTCCCGTCTTACCCAGGATGCGGATGTAGTTCATAGTCATACCCAGGACGCGGATGTAGTTCATAGTCATACCCAGGATGGAACACCCACAGAGCCCACTTGTGGTTTATACTGCAACTATACTGAGCAGACCTTAGTTGTAGTTTCTGGGGGTAGAGGGCATTATCTGGCATAATCAACAGTCTGAAGAAGGACAGTATGCTGAAACACTCGGTCACAATGACTTCTGACTTCATGCTATCACAATAACGTATATAAATGTAGGTAGAAAAAAACAAATGTTGATAAAATAGTGAGGGTCACAAAGCACTGCCCAGGGTCCTCAATCCAACATACTAACATTGAAACCTATCCCAGCAATGTTTTACAGCAATTTTTTACATCAACTTGAGATTTTTCTTGTTAGGTTGGATTGATGAAACAACTACTTTCAAACTGAAAGTATTTATAAAAAATTGGGAAAAAATTAATTTTCCAAAGTCAAACAAAGAACTCACTGTGGAGATTAGGTGAATCACCAAAATCCCAAACCACATCAGACCCCATGCTAGTTTTGAACGAAGGTCCATATAAACAGAAGACTTTTAAAAACCAGAGAGAAGCTGCCAGACACCAGGCTTGGACGATAACTTAAATTGAACTAATTTGACTTCCTGCATTTGAAGAAGACCTCCGATATTTTGTGCTGTCTTCCAGATTGGAAAGAATTTAGACTCAAAGTGTCACAAAATATTTAAAAAAAATGGTGAATAACCAAATGACAAATATATTCCTGCATGAAGAACATATAATTACTTGAGGAACTGATATTTTACCATCAGCTCTGTAAGAAAATGGTACATAAAACATTTTAATTTTATTTACAATTTATCCTATAAATTTAAAAGCCATTTTGTCTGGACCAGATCAATTCAATGATTCCTGTCAACAATTTGATCCTCACCAGCCTTGTGATCTAAATGAAACACAAGGTGGGACACGGCAAGGCTTGGATTGAAATGATCCATTCAATAGTCAATTGTGGGTATTGAACATTGAACGAACCAGCTGGGCGAATGTCGCAACATCATAAATCTACACCCATAGACTAAATAAAGATTTTAGTTTTAAATTCCAAGAAGGCCAGACTGTACAATGGATGAAAGTCCAAATATAAATAGTGTAAATGGAAACAAAGTCAGTCATAGCAGAACATGTCTACTGGGTAGGAACAAAAGTTTGTGGTGTTTTTTAATAGGTGACTGTTGGACATGTGATTTTGTTTCGCACGTGACTGAAATTTATAAGATATATAATTTATGCGGTGACATTTCAATGTGTCTTTCTATAGGTTTATTTTAAAAGTTAAAATGGAGGAAAAAGAGATGCAGTTGTATTATTGAATGCTCTTTTCTCTCCAAAAAGGAAAAAAATACGTTGTACAAAGAGTGAAAAAAAGACGTGCCATTTATGCAGAAGGTGAAATTGCTCAGGGCGCCATTTCTAAGTGGTTTCCTAGTTTTAGAAGAGGAAATTTGGATCTGGAAAAAAGCCGAGAACATTCTGGCAGGCCTGTGGTCGTTATTGATGACCAAATCATAAAGCCATTGAAAATAATCCAGGTCACACGACATTGCAGAGATATTCCATGTAACTCATATGAAAGTTTTGAGGCTTTTGAAATCGTCACAATATAACAGGAAAAAAAAAATTAATAGCTTCCATTTCCACCTGAAATTCTCTGCTTAAATGCAGCAAAACAAAAAATGACCCATTTTTTAAAAAAAAGTGATTATAGGCAACAAAAAAAGAGTTGTTTACAATAATGTGAAGCAAAAAAAAGTTCCTGGGGAAAATGAAAAGACAGCAAAAGCAGCACGTAATTTTACTAGGATCCTCAATCACAGGCAATGAAAAATGGGTGATTTTTACGAGGCTTGATTTGGTTTGGTCTGTTTTATGGCATATCAACACCTCAATGGGTTATTTAATGCCGACAAGATTTTTATTGCTGGTAATATTTTTTTTTTCAAAAATGTATTGCTGGTAAAAAATTTTATTTTCTTCAAAAATGTATTGCTGGTATTAAAAACTATTTTTATACTTTCATAGTGTTTTGGGGGCTTAACTATTTGCCCATATCTGGGACCTTGACATATGCTACCACCCCAAGTCAGGGTGGACCTGGGAACACCAGCAATTAAGAGGTGGTTCCACGCTCCTCAAAACCTTCTGATCAAAGGCCTTGCTGTCGGGTGTAGTTTATGGTCAAGGATCGACTTTCACTGGCACAACCAAAGAAGAATCAAATTCAGGATTATGACTTTAGACCTGTGGTTGTCAACTTTTTTCTATTCATGATCCCCTTTTGATTGATTTTTTTTCGATAGCACCCCTCCCAGCCATCTACTTTAACAAAAGCTCATTTTAGAATTCCCTGAACAAATGTGATATTTCTCCATATAAACTTAGAAACTGTATGTTAAAAAAAAAAACAAAAAAAAAAACATGTTAAAGCAAAATAAAGTTCTGCACATAAATACATGTACAAATTTAAAAAGTTATACAAAATAAAAAAGTTCTACACATAAATTTTACATAAATGCACACTACTAAGATATAAAACTCTTGAAAATTATTTTATTACTGTTATATAAGAATAGAGTATTGCTGCTGACACTGGAATTTGAACACAGATCACCAGAGAGCAAACATAGGTGATCCCATTTTGAATAAGTAGATCATGTGATAGTAAAGGAAATGTATATATGAGAATTAGCATGACATCTAAGAGATCATCATTTCTATTTTCTATCGTCTATTACTATATGGATTGCTGTTCTCTATACTATTCACTACACAGATTACTATTCGGATCACTAAGTGGTTACTTCTCGAGTGAGTATTATCAAGCAAGTACTATTAGTGCGAGTGTTATTCGAAGACATCTGACACCAGTATTGTTCAACGGCATTACTATAGTTGTATCTGCAATTACAAAGTCTCTACTACAACAAACATTATGAAAGTGGCAACAAGTATTTGTTGACATCACAAAAGTGGCAATTAGTGTTCGTTGACATCACAAAAATGACATAATTTAAGTTTATTAGAACCAATTGAGACAAAAGTTTTGATCAATAGAAGACCAGGATAATGTTTTTAATATTCAATGGTAATCTTTAATTCAATATTCCTTGTAGAAAAGACTTGAAAACAGTTGTTGTAATCTAGGAAGGTTACTCAGAATAATCAAATGATGGTTGGTAATGAATGATCCATTCAGGACATGACATATAAGATTTTTTTAATGGCGTGTAGAAGTAGTCAATTGTTAGAATTTCAAGTGAATTCACAATGATTCTCCAACTACTGCATTTATGTAAATGGAATACATTTCCATTATTTTCTGGGTAGACCTTCTATGGAAAATTTTATTGAAAATGTATTTTTCTAAACCAAATGTCAAGAAGATTTAACATTCACAAACTGTCAATATGAACTTGAAGGAACTGGGGATCTGGCAACAAAGGGGGGGGACAATAGTGACTTTAATTTAAATGTCTGTGAATTAATTCTGACATTTTGAGAAATATAACAGAATAGTTATTTTTATTCATCATTTTACTAATCCTAAAAAAAAATTTATCATTAAACACAAATTATTTGAGAGGGACTTTTTATACATGAGGAGTGATGTTAAAAGCCAAGATTCCAACAAGGGAAAATGGTCTTTCAACATTCATGCCCCCCTCTTTATGGTGACTCTGAAGGCAGAAAACAAGAAACGAGAAGAAATTTCCCTGACTGAGACATATAAAAGAAATTATTAGAATACAAAAAAGTTACATCAAGCTAATCAGCATAAAACAATTAGTCTATCCCATTTCCATTCATAGTAATCATTAAATTTAATGCAGATGAAAAACCAATTAGGAGGGCCATTGGAACAACAAAATATTTTCAATCTAAAAAAACATTTAATAGGCAAATCATTCAATTCTCTGATTTCATGGACATTAAAACAAAATTCTTTACCCCCCCTTCCTGCAAAAATGTCGATTTTTCAATTTCCAGTTTTCCAAGTTGGCTGTGAACCTTATATTACCAAGTAGACCAAACAGAAGAATTCAACAATATTCCATTTTGGTTCCTGTCTCATTATTTCTTTAAAAGAAAATTAAATATAAAACTTTTTGTCTAATCATTGTAAGTCATAAGATATGCAAAATAAACAATGTCAAAATATTTCTTATCGTTTATTTAAATTCTTAATTGCTTCATCTTTCTGGTCAAGGTCCCTTTTTTCAAAGCCAAATCGAGATTTTTGCTCTTTGATGATCTTTCAAAACACCAATGATCATTTCTTAAGCAATGCATCAAAATGAGAAGAGAAACATTTATCTTCATTAAAGACATCTTTAGAATAATTAAAAATTAACATTCTTTCAGAATTCTAAAGATGTTTGTCTATGAAATCATAATCCAGATGAATGATACCTATAACTAAGAATGAACTCTTCCTAACACTATGTATACTACGCCTCTTAAGAGAGAGGTAGAAATCGAACGATTTAAGTAGTTGAGTCTGCAAACCAGACTGACAGTCATATAACACCTTCCACATCTTGTATTATTATTTCGTGTAATATACTTTCGTTATTTCTACTCTTGTGTTCGTGTTGTTCTTCCTTGTCCTAACCTGGTCCTAACCTTCTGTTTACCTCAAGTTCTTGACAGGATCCAGAGGAATAATTAAAAATTCTCATTCTTTCTAATTTGTGTCTGTCTTTTTCCAAATATTTTCACTTAATTGCTCTGATGAGCTGTTATTTCTCTTGGTTCCCCAGACCAGTTGAATTCAGTACCCTATGAGGCTGGTATTGAACTCTCACCCTTTCAGTCTGTAGAAACATTGATTGGATCAGGTGACTAGACCCAAAGAGTTGTGAGTTCAATCATATCTTGCACATCTCGCCTGTGGAACACCCTTCCTTATTTGTTTTAAAGAGAAATAATCTCCAACTATTCAAATGTAATGTCACTTGGAACTAGAACAATTACCCCCAGTGGATCGAAAAAGGATTCAGTTTGAAATTCCAATCACCTGAAGAAGGCCCAAGCATACAATGGATGAAATGTTGGAATATGCCAATGAAGATGAGGATAACAGTAAAAATAATGTAAATAATACTTTAATCATTTCATCTCAGAGAGATATATAGCTCAATAGAACATCAAACTAGAGAGCTTTACCGTTAAAACGTTGTTAATATGACAATGAAGATGAGGATAACAAAAAAATAATGAAAATAAGGTAAGTAATCATAATATTTCATAAAGAAAGGTTTAATCCCTGAAGAAGGCCAGAGATTTACAATTATGAAACATTGTGAATATGACAATGAAGATGAGGATAACAGTCCAAATAATGTAAATAATGCAAGTAATTCCAGGAGTTTTAATTGTTTTCATTAATTTTATTTTTAAAAATCATATCTCCTGATGGACATAAACAAACATGAATCTTCAAGAAATTATTTTTTTCTGGAAAAATATTTTCAAATGGCTTTTTGGAAAGATTGTAGCATGGTTACCATGGGAGGTTTGACCTGAGAAGGACAAACAATCTTGGCTCAGATTGAGAGCCAAGTACGAATTCCATTTGAATCCATTACATTCACTCAGTGCTAATAAAACCCTTGGGAAACATGAATCCTGTTCTTCCCCTCCCCCAGTTCTATGGGAAAAAAAAAGGACAGACTGAAATTTTTCCTGATATTTAGGATGGCAACTGCTCTGACTGCAGAGAAAGAAATGGCAACCAACAGTTAAGGGGAAAAAATCTGCCTTGTCAGTCATGTAAAAAGATACAACATTTACTATGGAAATAGTGATCAGCTCATAACAAATAACTGAATGATATTCAATACACTAAATACCCTTGGGAAAGATTGAATCCTTGTCTTGAACTCCCTCCCCCACCAATTAAAGAAATCATACTGACAGACTGGGTTTATTTGGATGACAACTGGTCTAATGCAGGAAATAAACAAGTCAATGGCTATTGGGAAAAAATCTCCTGATCAGTCATGTATTTTATATGATTGTCTAAGTGCTGCTGATCTCACATAACTGATTGCATGGGCCAGATTTAGCCCTCTAGGCTAATATATTTGGAAGGGAAGGGGCTCTTCATTACATATGTTCACATCCCCCATGTCTATAAAAAAAGAAAACACTTTAAGTAAATTTTGCATTTATTACAAGTCAAAGATTTATAAAAATCAGGTTTAAAAATGGTGAAATAGACAAAATTACACAAAATTAAAAAACCACATCAAAAATCTATCTTCTCCTAAATAAATAAATGACAAATTCTGTCTGTGAATATTTGTGTGTCTGAAATCAGTCTAACTCAGGTGACACTTGCTCTACATAGAGAGATTATACCTTTTTGGAATCAGGATGATCCTGGGATTAAAAAATCTGTTCTTCATCTGGTGCAAGAACAACATTTAGGGATACTTTATCCGGATAAAAACATTTGGAACATTAAAAAATTCAAATTTTAAAAGTTTTTAATTTATATTATTATTTATTATTATAGTAACACAAAAACTTTGTGAATTCCAATTTTTTTTATTTTAAATTCAGTTTAAAATATCTCGAAAACTTTGTGAATTAAGAAAATCAATTTTATTTCTTCAAAATGGCAGGAATCAGAGTAAAAGTGAGACTTATGGTTTTGAAGTTCCACAGAGTTTATGATCTGAAAAACTCAACCCAATTAAAGTTTCATGGAATTTATCATTTGAAGAACTCAATTTTCAGCCTGAATTGGAATTTTGGACCAAATTGGAGTGAACTAGTCCTTGAAGTTATTTCTTAAAAATTATCATCACTAAGACCTACAGGCTTCATTAGACATTATTAATTAGTTTTCATCAGAGAAAGTGGTTTATACAGCTATATTTTACATATATAAATTTCTCAGAAGAGTTCTTCTATTATAGACTAGCATGTATATCTGTGGGAATATCAATTTAAATGGATCATTTGAAATGGGGCCCCAAACAATATAAAAGACACAGCTCCAACTGAAAAAAATATTTAAAGATTCCAATTAGCATAAAGAAGCATGATTGAATCTGAAAATAAACAAATCTTCTCTTTATTTTATTTTTTATCTTTAGAAATTTATGATTTAATTTTGATTCTTATGAAGCAAAAATCCACTAAGGAAATAAAAGAAATCAAGCAAAAACGTTTTATTAATTGAACACTTAAAATTTTGAATTGAGAAAATCTCTTTTTGCAAATTGATGGAAAAAGTTGAGGGAACACTGGTCATAAACATCAAGAGTTCCTGCCAAAGCAGAAATGCCATTACTGAAGATACTTTAAGCATACCAAGAGACAGATTCAGTGAAGGCTAATTAAGAAATTCTTCAAACTATCTTCTGAGAAATAATAAAAATATGAAAAAATATCACTTAACAACTTAGATCAAGTATTGATTTTTTGATGATGGATCAAAAAAAAAGAAGAAAATGATCATTGACATTGCATTTAAATTTTGAAGATCAAGTTGACTGGAAAATGCTGCTGGAAAAGAGTGAATAAGCTCTAACTATTGGTTAGCAATTTAGAAAAGTAATCAAAAAAACAGTAATAAGATTGACATTACATTTAAATTTTTGAAGATAAAAGTTGACTGGAAAGCAAGAACATTCGGAAGAGATCTACAAGATATTGAAAACCTTTTCTTTAGGACAAAGAAGAGTAATCAGGAAGACAGGAGAAATCATTGACATTGCATTTAAATTTTGAAGATCTTGAATATTGACTAAAAAGCCAGAAGAGAGTTCCTTTGGATAATAAAAAAAAATTTTGAGAACAATAGAAGAGTAATAAAGGTAGACAAAGATAATGATTGACATTGCATTTAAATTTTGAAATCAAAATGAAAAAAGCCAGAAAGACCACAATGAAAGAAGTGAGAACAATAGAAGAGAAAAAAGGAAGACAGTAGATAACGATTGACATTGCATTTAAATTTTTTGAAGATCAAAGTTGACTGGGAAGCAGGAAGAGCATTCTACATTAAAATAATGTAAAAATGTTATAAAAATGCCAAAAGTAAAATAAAATAAAAATAAAATAAAAATATGTAAAAACTGAAAAATATATTAAAAAAAAAAAAGGAATGTTTTAAAATTAAAAAAAAAAAAGATATATAAGATGTTTTTAAAAAAATGTAAAATAGAAAAGCCTTTCTAATAATACGAACCATCTTCGAGCTTTGTTATTTTGGCTTTTTCGTCTTTGAAGTTGACCTCCAAATCTTGTAATTCTTTTTGCACATTCATCAACTTCTGTGTCATCTCACACTCTGCCTTGTCACTCAATGAAGAAATTTTGACCTTGTATTCTTTAATCTGGTCCTTCAGCTGCAGGATTTCTTTTGGGGCATTCTCTAGTGCAACAGGATAGTCCAATTGGCATGTATTATCCATGGAAATCTTCCTTTCTGATTTCTTCAGCTGTCTGGCCAAAGACTGGATTTCCTCCTGGGCAATTTTCAGAGCAAACTCTGCTTCTATCTTAGCATTTTCAGCTTGTATCTTCTCCCGTCTCAGTTGTCGATTGCTACCAACTTTTGTGTCAAGTAACGGGGTGGAGGCAGGACTGCCCAACTTCTCCTTTGCTGTGACTTTCTCCCGCAAATACTGAGCCTCTTTCTGAGCTGCAGCCAACTCTCTGGCCAGAACATCTATCTCTTGTCTCATTTCTTCGTATCCAAGTCTCTTTAGATTGTCACTATTCCTCTCCTGCTTGTTAAGACTCAAGATGTTTTTCTCTTCTCCCTCCTTCCCATTTTCATATTTGAACTTTTCATCCAGCCTGACCTCACTGTGTGCCTCTTCATTAGAACTGACCATTGCATCCAGAGGGGCGGCCTTTACAGTACCTGTAACTTGCAGTACAGTTATTTTCTCCTGCAGCTGTTTCACTTCGGCAACAAGTTCTTCGTGCGATTTTACCTTCTCTTGAGCGGCATGCAGCTCTTTACGAAGGGCGTTCAGATCATCTCGAAGATGTTGTTCCTCACTTTTCTTGCGGTCCTCAATCAGCTTTTTGGTCATCTGATCCGTTTCCAATGTAATCTTCTGAATTTCCTGGCGGGATTCCAAGTCCTGCAGTTGTTTCCGCATTACAGAAAGTTGCTTCTGTAGTTTGTTATTGTCACGTTGCAAGTAGAAATTCTCAGACCGGCTGTGCTGAGCATCCAGCAATTTCTGACGCTCAGAAATTAGTTCCAAAGACGATTCTTCGTATTTAGTTTGCCAGGATTTTATTTGCTTCTGCAGATCTGCAAACAGAAAGCGAGAGAGATTTCAAAATTATAAGAACCATTCCGACAAATTCTGAGACAAGAGGAAATTATTTCTGGAAATATTTGGAATGTTATCGTCATCAACTGGTGATTCTGACTAGAAGATCCCTATCTAGCAAACTGGGATTAACGTCTTAAAGATGCCTATTAAGACAGACATGTTTAAAGATTAAAGATGCCTATTAAAGATGCATTATTAAGACAGACATCTTAAAGATGCCTATTAAGACAGACATCTTAAAGATGCCTATTAAGACAGACATCTTAAAGATGCCTATTAAGACAGACATCTTAAAGATGCCTATTAAGACAGACATCTTAAAGATGCCTATTAAGACAGACATCTTAAAGATGCCTATTAAGACAGACATCTTGCCTATATTGCAAATGGTCATATATATATATATATATATATATGTATAGTAAAGGTAATAAATTCATTAGAATATAATCCAAGTGGATCCTAGTAATATCAAATACAAAAACTGATCCACAAAAAGAGCTCAATGTATTTATTATAACAGAGCATATAAATTAAAATAAATAAAATCCCAAATTATCTCATGTGGTGGGGGATTGTATAGATCTATTTCAACTTACAAGAAGTGCGCCAGTCTTATTCAATTCAAGTGTGTAGTCTGTGTTCCTATCGGAATTAGAAATTTAACTTTGCCAGCAGCTGAAAAAATTAATACAGAATTTATCCGTTTCAATGTTTCAGTCAGACGAAAGGCACAAGACAGGGGATCATGGGAGGTTAGATGGGATTTGTCTTAAAGGAAGAAAGTTTTATAAAAATTAACCTGGATATTAACCATATGACATTAAACTGGTGATATTTGAAGAATGAGGTGTTAATTTGAAACTAAAAGAGGACCTAAAAGGAGTTTTATAAAATATATATATATATATATATATATATATATATATATATATATATATATAAAAATTAGGTTCCTACTTAAAAAATAATAAATTATACTTAAAAATGTGATATATTAGAAAAAAATTAAACAGAAGTCATGTGGAACTAGAAGCATATTTACAAAAAGTGAGTGAAATAAAGGGTTCAGTTTGACATTCCAACCACCTGAATTAGGCCAGAGTGTACAACGGCCGAAACGTTGTAATAAATATGGCAACAAAGATGAGGACACTAGTCTGAATAATGTAAATAGTATATATATATTAGTTATGAATTTTATCTTTCAACAATATTCAAACATATGGCAGCGAAAACAGTTTGCTAAAACAAAAAAAATAAATATATAAAAAAAGAAAGAAAAAAAGAAGGATTTTCTACTCAATTAGGGATCAATACCATCACAGACAACATATAGAAAACAAATATGAAATGCAAAATTCTAATTATTTTAATATAAAAAAACATGGAATGAGAGAAGAAGGAAAAGAGAAATAAAGAATAAGAGAAAGGAAAGCATATGTAAGGATTGTTATAAAAGAAAAGGTTCAAAGGTCACTTAGCTGTCATATAATGTTATCAATGATTTTGCTCTGAAAATTCTGCACTGTCTTAACTGGGTATTGAACTCACACTCAAGGACACATGGCACAGTTGATAAAGGCGTTAGTTAGATCCAGTGACAGGGCCCAAAGAGTGTGAGTTCAATACCCGGTTAAGGCAGTGGAAAACTTTCAGATGGAAATTAACAGGAGCTAACTGATAATGACCTTCATTGTTCTTTTAAACACTGTATTAACATGTGAGTCAGTAACATTTTCAACATTATAGTAATAATAATTACAACAGTATTATGTGGGGGATCAGTTTAGGAGTTAAATAATAACATAACTGAACCCTATTGTCCAGTAAGAGTTGATTAGACTTTTTAGACAACATCAAGTGGGGGATCAGTTTAGGAGTTAAATAATAACAAAACTGAACCCAGTGAAATAAGAGTTGAAGAAGACTTTTAGACAACATCAAGTGGGGGATCAGTTTAGGAGTTAAATAATAAAAAAACTGAACCCTATTGGCCAGTAAGAGTTGATTAGACTTTTAGACAACATCAAGTGGGGCATATGTTGGGGAGTTAAATAATAACAAAACTGAACCCTATTGGCAAAGTAAAGTTGATTAGACTTTTTAGACAACATCAAGTGGGGGATCAGTTTAGGAGGTTAAATAATAACAAAACTGAACCCTATTGGCCAGTAAGAGTTGATTAGACTTTTAGACAACATCAAGTGGGGATCAGTTTAGGAGTTAAATAATAACAAAACTGAACCCTATTGGCCAGTAAGAGTTGATTAGACTTTTTTAGACAACATTAAAAGTGGGGCATATGTTGGGGAGTTAAATAATAACAAAACTGAACACTATTGGCCAGTAAGAGTTGATTAGACTTTTAGACAACATCAAGTGGGGGATCAGTTTAGGAGTTAAATAATAACAAAAACTGAACCCTATTGGCCAGTAAGAGTTGATTAGACTTTTAGACAACATCAAGTGGGGGATCAGTTTAGGAGTTAAATAATTGAAAAAACTGAACCCTATTGGCCAGTAAGAGTTGATTAGACTTTTTTAGACAACATCAAGTGGGGCATATGTTGGGGAGTTAAATAATAACAAAACTGAACCCTATTGGCCAGTAAGAGTTGATTAGACTTTTAGACAACATCAAGTGGGGGATCAGTTTAGGAGTTAAATAATAACAAAACTGAACCCTATTGGCCAGTAAGAGTTGATTAGACTTTTTAGACAACATCAAGTGGGGGATCAGTTTAGGAGTTAAATAATAACAAAACTGAACCCTATTGGCCAGTAAGAGTTGATTAGACTTTTTAGACAACATCAAGTGGGGCATATGTTGGGGAGTTAAATAATAACAAAACTGAACACTATTGGCCAGTAAGAGTTGATTAGACTTTTTAGACAACATCAAGTGGGGGATCAGTTTAGGAGTTAAATAATAACAAAACTGAACCCTATTGGCCAGTAAGAGTTGATTAGACTTTTTAGACATCAAGTGGGGGATCAGTTTAGGAGTTAAATAATAACAAAACTGAACCCTATTGGCCAGTAAGTTTATTTGTTCTATTTTATATTCAATTTTGAATCTATTATTTAAAAGCAAAATGGAATGATTTGATTTTATCCTTGTAATGCTCGGACAAAATGCAGAAAATTATAACAATACAGTTTTTAACTGACCTTCTACAATTTCTTTCATTTCTGGTGTCAGGTCTTTTGCAATCTTCACATCAACTTCTTTCAACAGCTTGAGTTCAGTAGTCTCAACAAATTCCTTTCTTGACTGGTTCAACTGGTCAAATGAATGAAACGCCTCATTGAGGCTTCCCTTGACATCGTCCAGCTCATACTTCAAATTAAACGAGACATTCTTCTCATTGTCATATTCCGTCTTCAGCTCATCTAGTCTTGCATTGGTAGCATCAAGTTCAAGTTGCAGGCTCTGGTTGAGTGATCGCTCAGCAGCCAGTGAATTTTGCACCTTTTGCAGCTCTGTATGAAGCATGGTCGCATCTTGTTCAATGTTGGTTGGAATTTGTTTTTTCTCATTGGAATTCATCTCCATGTGGGATTCAAGCTCTTTCGATAGAATATCTTCAAAAGATGATTTCTCTTCAACATTTTGGTCTTCATTTTCTTTTGTAGTTTCTACTTTTTCCACCTAAGAAAGAAAAAAAATATATATATGTATATACATTTTTTAGGAAATGGATGAAATCTGGCATATTGTTATTTTTTTATTTATTTTTAATTAATTAAAATAGATGACATTTCTTGAATATTCAGTCCAGCAGCCTGGATAAAAAAAATACTAATTAATTAAAAATATTAATTAATAATCAGATCTATTTAAATATGAATATCTATCAAAATTAACATTTAAACAAAATAAATTAAAAACAATATATATATATATATATATATATATATATATATATATATATATATATATATATAAGGAGTGTGTGTGTGTGTGTGTGTGTGTGTGTATATATATATATATATATATATATGTGAATGTGTGTAATATATATATATTATTTATATATTATATTTACGGTAATTATTAGAAAGTCTGCTCAATATCAGAGATAGAGCTAACATATTTGGTTGGATTTATGAAAAGTTTATGAGCGAAGATATAAAATAATCAAACATTGCTGCAAGTCTCTGCTGTTCCACAATAGTGAACCATGAGCAAAGAAACAAAACCATGACCTGTTTGATGCAACTATGTGTAGCTATGATGGAGCAAATATATACCCGAAAAAGTAGGCATACTCATCCTATTATGACTAACCAGAATCATAGAGAGAAAGGACATGGGATTATACAGAGATGACAGACTTATCTTGATAAGAGAACCCAATGGCCCCAAATTAGACAAATTTAGGAAGAAAATAGTGAATGCACTAAAAAACATTGGATTCAAAATAGAGATAAATGTAGGCACGACAACAGTAAACTTGCTTGACATCAATCTTAACCTGAACAACAACACATACAAACCGTACAAAAAACATAATGACACCCAAACTTATGTACACACATCCTCCAACCACCCACCTTCAATCATCAAACAAATACCTGTATCAATCAGCCGCAGACTATCTGAGAACTCATCTAACATACACATTTTCAATAACAAAAAAACATACAACAAAGCTCTAAAAGCAAGTGGATACACACAACAACTACAATATACACCTCCACAGCCAAAACACAAAAACAGAAAAAGAAATATTATCTGGTTTAATCCACCATACAACAAAACCGTCAAAATGAACATAGGTAAGACATTCCTAAACTTAATAGAAAAGCACTTCACTGAAATAAACTGATTAGCAAAAATATTCAACAACTTTAAAATCAGTTACAGCTGCACAAAAAATATGACAGAAATAATTAAAAGCCACATCAAAAAAAAATGACAACCTGCAAAAATGAAACCAAGGATCCAAAATGCAACTGCAGAAATAGAACATGTCCACTCCAGGGAAATTGCCAACATATGAATACAATATATAAAGCCAAGGTAAGTGCAAACAACAGCACAATGTACTACATCAGTGCCACTAAGGGTTCATTCAAGAAGCGGAAAAACAACCACAACCTTTCATTCACCAACAGAAAATACTTGAACAGCATTACACTATCCATAGACATACGGCAGCTAAAAGACAGAAATATTACACCAAGAATACGATGGAAAATATTGAAAAAAGCACCTGCCTACAGCAACATTACAAAAAATGCCTACTTTGCCTACACGAAAAAGTAGCAATAATATCCCATACCCCACAAAAGAATTTACTAAACAAAAGATCAGAGATAATTTCCAAATGTAGGCATGAGAATAAGTACCTATTATCAGAATTTATACCAAACGGATAACAAAAAAAAAAAGAAGAAAAAAAGGACAACAACCATTCTTTAGTTCAAGCTACCATCACAATAACTACATTCATTGTCATCATCATTCCACCACCATTACTAATCACTTCTACCACCTTACAATAACTATTATCTAATATTATCATTACCACCAATCATCAACATTACTATCACATCACATCTACTAATCATACTATAATTATTAACGTAAATTACTCCCCCCTCGCCCCCAGCATATTTAATACCTCCATATAAAAACCAATAAGGATTACAAACTGCAATTTCTACCAATTACATATACGCAATCAAAAACAAGCAAATAACCAGCTTTAAAATAATAACAAATCAGCCTTAAAAAATTAAAAATAATTTTACACAGACCCCACCACACGTATATACGTGCGTGTGAGGAAATATTATTCAATGAAATAATAGAAAAATGGTCTGATTGTTGACATATATACATTCACGAGAAATATTCACTACACATCCCATCTTTGAATTTCAGCAACGAAATGTGCATGTATGTAGACAACAGCACACATATACATACATATGTCAAGTCCCATACTGTCCACATATGTTTATGTTTGTATGAGCCTCGGCGGTGTGTGTCTGTGTGTGACAGACATCTATGTTATTGTTAGCATGAGTGATATCACAACGACAAATTCCCACCCTCCACTTTCTTTGCTACACAGGAGTTACCATATTTTAAATCAGTTAATTTATAATATTTATGCTCTGTAAATTTACATTGAGCCCTGTTTTGCAAAATAAAAAATATCAATAAGAACACTGGATTATATATCTTACTGTTCTTTTTTTTTTACTATATATATATATATATATATATATATATATATATATATATATAATAAATAAGTAATAATTATAGAACAAAAATAAAACTACTTCATAACAGAAGTTGAAATATAATCTTTTCCACGATACAAAAGACATAAAAATAAAAATTCTATAATGTAAGATTATTTTACATATATAGTTTTACAAAGACAAAATAACTACAAAAAAAATAAGATGACTTTAAAAAAGAAGTTAAGATGAATTTCTTTAAAGGAAACAGTAAATATACAGTAAAAGAAATAACAATGAAAAATAAAAATTCTATAATGTAAGACTTTTTACATAAAATGTAAATTCAACTGGAATCAGAGTCAGAATAGTTTTACCACCTCCTCCAGTGATCCCTTAATTTCTTTCGACTCTGACTCCATGACCCTGCTAAATATTGAGCTTTATTGTAAATTAATCCACTATGGAAACAAAAAGGTAGCCGTCAATACCCTCCCACATAGAGAGGTATCTCAATTGGATACATTATGATGAAAGAATTAATAAACATTATATTAACTAGGCTTTCATTGTTTCACTTCACTTTCATCAGGTGATGAGATGATATCAGGATTTAGATCACTATCTTTAACCTTTTCTCAAGTTTTTTTATGATAAAAATGTTTAGAATTCATTATAGATGTTCTTTTATTTCTCTATTAGGTTCTTTTTAGAATCTAATAGAGGAATAAAAGAACATCTATAATGAATTCTAAACAGATTGAGATGATATCAGGATTTAGATCACTATCTTTAACCTTTTCTCAAGTTCTTTTATGATAAAAATGTTTAGAATTCATTAGATTTTATTTTTCTATTAGGTTCTAAAAAAACAGATTGAGTAGTTATAAAATTAAATTTTTTTCTGCACACAATTGCCTATTTTCAGATTTATACCTATTGTAAGGCAACTCAGCTTATTGGGAAAATAGAACATGCAAATATAGTGTTTCACATCCTAAAAACCTGGGCAAAACATGTGATGCACAGAGCATAGTGGAAATAACATCTGTTGGTTTGGTTAGTTTGTTTTGTTTTATGGCATATCAACAGCTCAATGGGTTATTTAATGCCAACAAGATTTTTATTGCTGGTAATAATTTTTTTCTTCAAAAAATTCATTCCTGGTAATAAGCTTTTACAAAAATGTATCGCTGGTATTATGTGCCTCAAATGATTCTTGGGTATTTCCATGTTAGCAGAGTTTTAATCAAACAAAATTTAATTTTATTGTTCTCTAAAATAAAATTTGATCAGTTTAAATGCATCTAAACATAAAAATAATGTTCAGCTCCACTAGACATTATAAAATACTCTTTAAATTTCATTCATTTTAACAGGACAGTACTTATGGGATGACTTGATATGTTTGTTAAACAAAAAGAAATAGGCATAAAAAATATAAATAAAAAATTTACCTGCAAGCATTCAACATTAGTAGCAACCTTCATTTGCATAGTGGTCAGATTCTGACCATTTTCACTCTTTCGCTTGTCCGTTTTGTCAGTGGCCATTTCCAGCTTCACGGTCAGTTCTTCACAATATTGTTTTTCAGTGTCTGGATCGCCCTTCAGCTGAGCTACTGGACTCACCCTCTCTTCATCACTGGCTGCTGGTGTCACAGTTTTCAATATACCCTCTCCTCTCTCCTCTTTCCTGGTAAGTTCAGAAATTAGGCGATCCTTTTCTGCCAGTAATGATACCAAACCGGAATTCTCTACAAGCAGTTTCTCCCTCACTAGTACGTTATCCTCTAAACTCTTTTCCAGTGTGCTGACCTCTTTCTCCAGGGCCTTCATTTTCTCTTCCTGTGGCGAGGAACATCTTTCCTCCTCAATGTTACCCGTATTTTTGCTCGGCAAGTTATCGTTGGTTTCTTTCTGCTTTTCTAATTCCTGAGTCTGTTCAGTTTCTTGACACTTTAACTCATCTTGGTCCCTACACAAAACGCTTATCTTTGATTCCAAATCTGCGTTCTCTCGATTCTTTTGTTCCAGCAACTCAGACATTTTGGTCAGCTCGATATCTTTAGCTCTCAACTCTTTCTTCTTAGTTTGTAGATTTTCTTCCAGTTCCCGCTGTGCCATTTTGGCCATTGCCAACGAGTTCTTCAATTCGTTTGTGGCTTTTGCATTAGACTTCTCTTTTGCAGACTCCTTATAAAGCAAATATACTTCAAAGAGACGATTTCCTGAGATTTTGATTCAAGTTCTGATTGAACTGACAGCAGTTCAGAGTGCAGACATTCCTTTTGCTTCAGAATCGTTCTGTTCTCTTCTTTCAGAATCTGAATCTCATTTTCCAAAGAATTCTTGA